GAAAATGCCAATGGGATACCGGTCCACTATCTGAATCTGGACGCAGGCCTGGATGAAAGAGGCACAACTGTACTGCGTGGGCTCCAACCACATTGGGCTGGGTGCAGGTACTGGGTCCCAGGCGCAGGCTCAAGGTAGGCCGCCCACATGCAACACTGGCATATAGGCAGAGAGGGCGAGTGGGCAGGGATCTTGGCCATTGCGGGCAATGCCGACACGCTGCGCGAATGCGAGGTGCTGTGCTGCGCTAGGCTGAGGTAGAGGCAGGCTGCGCTAAGCGGTAGGGCGCTGCCTGGGCGCAGGGCGCTGGTGGCCATAGCCGGGCTCCCTGTGGGCGCAGAGGAGGTGAAGGGCGAAGGTGGTTATTCGGAGGTGAAGGGCGCTGTGTGGGATAACAAGGGAGAGTGAGGGTGAAGAGTGGGACGTACCTGGTGGAGAGGAGGACGGCATTGGTGTTGACATCATCACTCGCTGGTCGTCAAGTTGTCTGGTTGCTTCCATGCTGTAGTTGGAGTGATAGGCTGTAGAGTAGATAGGGCGCCTGGCGCCATTCAAGAGAGAGAGTTACATTGGGTTATGCTGTTGGTGTTGCCTGATTGGGCTTGGACATTGACTCACGATTCTTTTGTATCGTTCTCAAACGGATGGTTACTTGGTTCCATTGTGCTATCTGCTTTTGCTTTGACTACTTGGACTTTAGTGTGACTATGCAATCTGGATTTCTGTGCTTCGTCCACATTCATGTTCGTTGCATAAGGAGCCACTAATCAAAAAAGAAAAGTTTGAACTTTGCAAAAAAAATATTCGAGAAAAATGAAAATCCCGAGTTTTGCAAGTTTAGTAGGTCTCCCAACCTCCCTTGAAGTGCGAACTTGTCAATAAGAAAAACGTTTTCGAACTTCAGACTGCAAATGATTATAGAACTTGTGACTAACAGAATCCTAGAACTGCGAAACAAAAATTTTCGAAAAGAACAAAATTTTCCGAAAAGAAATGTCAAGTATTCGGACTTACTGAGAGTATTCGCAGTTTGGAAAATGGTACTGCAAGAGGGATTTCCCGTACCGTTTTCAGAAAAAAACGAATTTCGGAAAATATTCCGAATAACGGGAAATGCAACAGGAAGTCGAAATTTTTGAAAAGAAAGACATTCTGGATTCTCAACAACGAAATTTCAAATTCAGAAGAAAAACGAAAATGGAAATTTCAGGTGTTGCGCTATTGCGATTTTCCACCATAGAAATAGTGAGAAATGAAACGATTTTTCACCTTTTGCAGTAGCAGACGCAGATCCCTGGGCTCGAATCCCTAGTCCCCACCTTACCAGTGTACAGTACCTGTGTCGACCCGTAGAGTTGAACCCACGACCTTTGTATTAGTAACAGTTGGTAGGCTGTCGTAGGGTCCATAGGAAGTCAGGGTTCGATCTGTAGGTCTGTCGAATAGAAGTCTTAGCGAGTTCCAGAAGTCTTAGCTGTAGCCTTCTAGAAGGTCGGCAAGTGGGCAAGTGGTAAGTCAAGTGGTGGACTAAACCGCAGTGCGATTGCAGTATGACCCCGGTGGGATAGCACAGGTCCAGTCAGTCCCAGTCCGGTCCAGCAAGTACCACGAGGGACTGTGAGCACCATGGGCCGATAGCAAAGGGTAGACCAACGAGTTTCAGAAGTATAAATCAAGAGGCAACGTTCAGCCTTTCATTCATTCCTGCGKGAGCCATGCGGAAGCGCTGCCACAGCGACTTGTGCAAGGAGGTCTGCAGAGAGCCCGGAGCTGAAGTGGGCGAGAGAGGAGGGTGTAGCATAGCGATAGGGTAGTTGCGGCCATAGCCGCCATAGCTAGAGTTAGCGTGTAGTGTGTGTGTGTGTGTGAGTGTTCAGAGTCGCGTGTGGGATATCCAGGGTGATCCGGTGTATGTGAACAGTGAGTTGTTTGGGCGCTGAGTCGCCATAGCCAATTGAAAGTGAACTCGTATCTGGATGCCATATCTCTGAGTTTTGAGTGGGCGCATGTCGCCAGTTTGCTGCGCTACTGTTTACATGCATGAAAAGTGTGAATGAAAGCGAGTCTGATTGCAGAAACTGAATCCAAGAAATTTTCGATTTTTGGCAGTAAGGTCAAAATCGTGATTTGGGGGGCTAACTAGTGTGCTCTAATCAATCTATCAAGACTAATCAGCTACCTAGTCCTCGCGCACGTGTCAGATCAGGTTGTCCTGATTCACGTGCAGTGCTCCGATACCTATTGTTACATGCCCAGCTGGGCGATGTACATAGAAACCGAGGATCCGCAATGTGATGAAGAGGACTGAATGGACAATGCAGTGCAAGTAGAATCTCAACAAGCAATGTGCATTCCGATACATACAAAATGGTGCTTTATAGCGCAGGGAAGACTTAGATACAAATCCTGACCTGACCGAGACTGACCTCTTTTACGTAGTACAAGACAGCGAAGCAGAATGCTAGAATAGGAATGACTAGCCCAACCAATGTTTCAACGCAGACCAAACATACATCATGCTCATCACAAGGTGTCAAGGAGCCTGGCACTATTACACAGGAAGGAAGCGCCAGGTCCAGACATACACAAACGAAGAGGAGGGGATCAGACGAAGAAGAGGGGGAGAGATGGGAGTATCGTCAACACCAAGTCTTTGTCGCAAGTCCCAAATAATCCCCCGTTGAAACGTCTGAAGCCCAAAAGTCGCGTCTGGATCCAATGTCACGAAGCTCTCTCTCTCTATTTCTCTCGTAGTCTGCTGATGCAGTGAAGTCGGATAATGAGAGGGTGAGAGGGAGATGGTGGACTGAGAAGAGGAAGAGGAAGAGCTCTCTCTCTCTCTCACGAGCCAGGTACTAACCTGTGAAGTTGGCACTGTGCTGCAGGTACCTCGAAGACGAAGCTGGAGCAACGGCACTGCAGGTAGGTACTCCTGGCCTTCGCCCAATCTCTCTCTCTCTAGTACTATCCTGGCTATGGCGCCCAGCGCTGAAGACTGCAGCTACCTGCTGGCGCCCAGTGCTGAAGACTAATGCTAACGCTACTACTACTACTGCAGCGCTCCCTCCAGAGTGCTGCTGCCGAATCCTGGAAGTCCCTATGTACTATCTCGGCCTGCCTCCGACTGCCTGCAGTTGCAGGGCGGGCAGTCCAAGAGGCTGCTCTTGCCAATGCTGAACTGAGCCAGGGGCTGGCGCTGCAGCTGTCGTGGGAACAGGCCAAAAATAGCCTGTTCCTAAATCCCTGGTTCGGTGCCTGAGTTTCAGGGCAGGCCGGTCTGATGACAGACCGGAAATAAAGCTTAGTTTCAGGCTAAAAAGGCTACTGCCATTTTTAGTCTGAAACGACACAGGGTCTGTAGGCCCTTGTATTTCAGGCTTTCGAGCTGAATGGTCACGGGGCCTGTAGGCCCTGTGACGCATGCTCAGGGGAGCAATGCGCAGTAGACCAAGGATCTGGAATGTCATGAAAAGGACTGGAGTGAACAAAGCAATGTCATCATAGCATCAACAAGCAATGTACACCTCGATACATACAAATGGCACAATGTGGCGCAGCGGAAGACTCAAAGATAAGATCTGATCTGACCTGGACTGACCCGACATCCATCGGACATCACACATGTGAGATAAGAGGAGGGACCGCAAACACGAAAGAAAGGTCCCTCCTTCATACGCAACATGGGGGAGATACCACGGATGAGAGATGGGGGAGGGATGAGACGAAGGAGATGGGAGGCGAGCGAGTAGACCCAGATCGCAATGGCGAAGTCCAAAATAGTCTCTTGCCGAATGTCCCAATAATGTCCGTCCCAGAAATGTCCAATCAGATCGTGGGCAATATGCCCGTTACAACCTCTACCTGAATCCCTACTGATAACCTCTCACATTCTCATAGAAGAAGAAGAAGGAAGAGGGAGGAGGGAGAAGAGAGAGAGAGAGAGAGAGAGAGAGAGAGAGAGAGAGAGAGAGAGAGAGAGAGAGAGAGAGAGGAGGATGAAGTCCTCCTTGCTATCTCACCTGYAGGTAGCTGCCACTTGAACTGACCTCGTCCGTTGCTGTGTGCAGGTACCGCGTGGAGCCCAGSTATGGCGCYAGGTAAGCTCGCCGACTGCAGGTATGGCCTCCGCCACTCTCTACCTCGCCTAACTCTACTYCCTACTCCTCTACTTAGCGCAGCATAGCGCAGCCTCCAACCAGCAGCGKGTCGCTCAGAATGAGCTACTCGAACTGTTTTTGCCCAGGAGCTGGCCCAGCTATAAGTAGTGCTGGGCCGTGGTGYTGTACCCTCGACCTGCGATCTGGGYCGTGAGATCGTAGGTCCGATCCATGGTCCAGGTCGCAACGAAAAGTCCTGTCCCTGGGTCTGGCCTAAAAACGGCCTGCCTGGGTCCCTATCGGACGTCCAGGCCTTCCCTGCTGATGCAGCAGGGAGTGTCTGCTACCAGACAAAAGCGAACCTGGCCTAWAAGGGCCTGGCCACGAATGGAGGAGGCCAAAAACGTGGCCTTGGTCCGAACAGATCGTAGATCTGTTCGGACAAACTGCAAGTCCGAAACGTCACCTGAAACAGACAAAAATAGAACAGGCAAACAGCAGCACACATAAGTAAATAAATAAATAAATAAATAAATGAATGACTGCTGCCTCAAATCTGTACCTACGGCCTGTCCAATGGCCGTGGGCCTCCAGGTCGCGTGCTTGGAACAGGCGCGCGGCCTAGGGGCCCTCAACAACCGTCAGGCCCGAAAATGGGCCCGTGTGTCAGGCTCGGCATGTAACACCCCCCCCTACTTATAAAGTCAAGCCGGTCGGGGGCGAAGCTGTCGATCCGAAGGCGGTACTTGGACGCGTGTGCGTCGGGGAGCCGAAGGTGCCGGCTTGCCTTTAAGTTTCTGCTCATAGCGTGCGAGAGCATCGGGCGCTGTTGCTTGAAGTTCCGCACGAGTCAGCCATCGGTCAGCTCTATGCGTGCAATATGCAAAGTGAACCAAGAATTCGGTCGGTTTGTTGCCATGTCGTTGGTGGGATATGATGTTGCCGATCTCTTGGAAGCCGTCCATTGAGGGCGGGTCTTGCGATCGTCGCCCGGGGAAGTCGTCAAGTTCGGCTGGCGTGTAGGGAGCCAACTTTGAACAGTGAAAGACCGGGTTGACGGGCAAGTGTTCGGGCACCTGAATGATAAACGAAGGGCCTTCGGGTGCGTCGCCGGCGGGTGCCAAGATCGGCCAGGGCCCCATCCATTTCGGAAGGAGCTTGCGAGAGATATCTTGCTCGAGGCTGAATTCCGCAGCGGAAACCCATACGAGGTCGCCGTCACGGAATGGACAAGGAAGACGCTGGCGGTTGGCCTGTTGGCGCATACGTTGCTGCGTCTTCGACATCTGATCGCGTGCCTTGACAAGAAGCTCTTGCATCCGATGAATGAAGAGAAGGTGGTCGTCGCTCTCGGTCGTCCGTGGCATGATTGTGTCCATCGGAGAGTTGACCGGCGAGCCATGCTCAAGCTCGAACGGTGACATCCCGATAGCCGGATGGATAGACGAGTTGTAAGCCAACTCAACATCCGGCAGCCGCTCGACCCAATCCTTTTGGTCGGGACGAATGAGAGTGCGAAGGAGGACCTGTGCGGTCTGATGTGCCCTCTCCGTTTGGCCATCGGTTTGGGGGTGGCGAGCTGAACTTGGCTTGAGGGAAGAGCCCCATCGCTTGATGAGCGCCAACCAAAAGTCGGACATGAACCGAGTGTCGCGGTCGCAAACGATTTCCTTGGGGTAACCCTTGGTTCGAATCCAACCGGCGTAGAGAACCTCGGCCAATTCCGGTGCCTTGGCATGGTAACGGCAAGGCAAAAACATGGCGAACTTGGTGAGTCGGTCAACCACCGTGAGAATCCCATCCATGCCCGTCTTGTGCTTGGGGAACGGCCCGGTAATGTCCATGGCAATCGCTTCGCTTCGGCGCAAGGGGACCGGTAATGGTCGCAACTCGCCGTACGGACGATGATTGCGAGGTTTGCAACGTCGGCAAACTTCGCATGACTTGCAGTAGCGCGTGACGTCGTCGAGGAGACCGGGCCACCAAAAGCGCTCGTGGAGTCGGCCAATCGTGCGATTGACGCCAAAGTGTCCGGTGGCGGGGGCGYCGTGGAACTCGCCAAGAAGCCACGTGCGCAAGTGTGAATCTTGCGGCACACAAAGTAGATCCTTCCCCCGCGAGTGAAGAAGCAAGTATCCCTCTTGGATCCGATAGTGCGACGGCGCCGGATTGGGAGAGGAACAATTTGCGTACTTGTCGCGAAACTCGGGGTCGGCTTGATAGCCGCGGATGAAGCCGTCCCGCAAGTCGTCCTCGATCTCGAAGGTCGAGTAGACCGCGGTGCAGTGGTCCGGACGTCGGGAAAGGGCATCCGCGAAACGGTTCGACTTCCCCGGAATGTGATCGGGAAAGAAGTCGAATTGGTCGAGGAAGGCCATCCAACGGGCGATGGTGCTGTTGACGGTGTCTTGAGACTTGTAGAAGACCAACGGATTGTTGTCCGTTACCCATCGGAACTGGCGTCGACCGAGGAGGAAGTGTCGCCATCGCTTGAGTGTGTGAACGAAGGCGAGAAGTTCCTTCTTGCGTGCATCATCAATGGAGTGCACGGGCGGCACCTTCTTGCTGAAGTATTCGACCGGGTGCCAATCCACGTCGTCATGTTGCTCGAGGACGACACCAATGCCATAGCCAGACGCATCCGTGGTGACGAGTGTTGGCAAGAGCGGGTCGTAAATCCGCAATACCTCCGGGGAAAGCAAGGCGGCCTTGAGGGCCAAGAATGATTCCCGCGCGTTCGTCCCGAAGTCAAACGGTCGGTCCTCGCATTGAAGCTTGGTCAAGTGAGCCGCGATCTTCGAGTACCCTTTGATGAATCATTGGTAGTAGCCGGCAAGGCCAAGGAAAGATCGGACATCCGTAACATTCCGAGGCTCCGGCCAATCTTGGTCGGCTTGAATCTTGTCCGACAACGGACTGATGCCTTGTGGAGTGACAAAATTATTCGAACTCTTGACGCACGAACTCGCACTGGTCGCGGTTGGCTTTGAACTTGGCACGCCGGAGTCTCTCCAACACTCGTCGAAGATGATCCAGATGTTCCTCCAAGGTTCGGCTATAGACGAGAATGTCGTCCAAGTAGACCAGCACGAACCGGTCCAACATTGCGCGGAACTCGTTGGTCATCGCCGCTTGAAAAGTCGCCGGGGCGTTGGTGAGTCCGAAAGGCATCACGACCCACTCGAAGTGCCCATACCGTGTCTTGAACGCGGTCTTGTAGCGATCTTGCGGCCAAATCGAGATTTGATGGTATCCCGACTTCAAGTCCAGTTTGGAGAAGAACTTTGCGCCGCCCAAGCGCTCCAAGAGGTCGTCGATACGAGGAAGAGGTCCCGCGTTCTTGACGGTTTGCGCATTGAGCTTGAGGTAATCGATGCATAAGCGAAGGTCCTTGTTCTTCTTCCGAACGAAGAGAACAAGCGCACCGTAGGGTAAACTACTAGGCCGGATCCAGCCTTTGTCCAATAAGTCGTCGAGCTGCGCGCGGAGTACTGTAAGTTCCTCCTCGCTCATGCGATAGATGCAACCTTTTGGCGGCACGGCACCGGCCTCAAGAATGATTTCGTGTGAGATCGGCCGATCCGGCATCACGCCGGTAGGTGACTCGAAGACGTCGGCGAATTCGTCGAGCAACCGCACCACCCGGGAGTCGGAAGACAAGTCCGTGCTTGAGAATTGGCTGTCGCGACGGTTCGAAGAAAACATAAGCCAATCTCGTTAGTCCGCTCGTAAGCGCAAGTGGCCCGAAAAGATTTGGCGGTTACAACTTGGCACCGGATCGAAGGGTGCGGAGGAGGAATGGTACACGGTACTTCAGTGCCGAACGCGTCGCGAACCGTAAGAGTCCGCCGATGGAAGTTGACCGTGTGATCCGCACTGGCGAGCCAAGGCATGCCCAAAATGATGTCGAAGTCCGTATCCAAGACGTCGAACGTCACCGGTTCGCATGCATGAGAGGTGCGAAATAGACCGGGACGGCTTCGATGTAGCGATCAAGGAGTTGTTGTGTCCTTCCGTCCGCCAACTTGATCGACGTAGGGTGTGCCTTCCTTCGAACTCGTGGTCCAAGGCCGGCCCTTTGCATGAAGGACTGGCTAATGAAGTTGCGAGTCGCGCCGCTATCCAACAAAGCGCTGCAGGACGCTTGCCCGATTTGGATGCGGACGTAAAGGAGCGGTGCGTTGTTGTCGTCATACCGCTGCGTGCGAAACTCGCGGGCCACCTTGCTCACATAAGCAAGAATGTCCCCCACCGCGACCTCGTCCTACGTAAGCGAAGTTGGTGGTGCATAGAAGGCCAAGTATGTATGTAGATGAGCGCGAAGAGCAGCGCATTGCGGCTCCGGTAAGCAGCCGGTGGAAGGGAGAGGAAGCCATGCAAAATCCTCGGGCGTCAACGGGTCCAAGTCCTCAATGTTGAACGCGTGCGCCGAATCCCGTGAAGGTCCACTTGAAGACGAATCAATGCGGCTGCTACCGATCGGAGAAGAGACCGCACATACATCTTGTCCTTGGGCTCGTGGAATCAGCGAAGGTATGAGCCGGGCAGCATAGTCCTCGAACGAATGAAGAATGGGAGGACTTACGACGTCCGCATGTGCCCCGGAACCGAGGGAGGTTACTCGCGCGGTAACCGGTTCCGAAGGCGTCGAGAGTGTCGTCGCAACACTCTCGGCGGTGCTCACTTTCCCGACTGGGCGGGACCCTTGGCCTTTGTAGGACAACTCGCTGACTCATGAGCGGAGCTATTGCACCACAAGCAATAACGGTACGTGGTGCGAATTTTATATGCGCGTGGCGACAAACCGTATGTTGTCCAAGGGCCTTGTTCTTGAGCTGCCTGTCCGGGCCCAGAAGAAGTATTGGTGGTTGTCTTCGGCTTGTCGCGTCCTCGTCCTTTGGCGGGGCGGCCACCATTCTGGGCAGCTGCTAGTCTGTCTCCCTGATCAGATGAAGCAGCCTCGTTCGAAGAAGTTGAAGGGTCGCTAGGCGTTGCTGCTGCGACCACGGCCACCTTGGGCCGATGCTGATGMGTGCCCTGGCCGGCAGATGACGAAGGGCTCGTGTTGCGGGCGGCCAGATTCGTGACAATGATCTGCGCAGCCTTGTTGAAGAGCTCCTCACTTGTGGTGAGGGTGTCCGCGACGTGAGTCAATGCGTTCTGCAATGCCGGGCACGGCCGCTTGATGAAGTACAGCTTGATGCCGTCGAAGTTCATCGGCAACTTGGGCGTGCTAGCCAGGCGTTGGAACTCAGAAATCCAATCACCGCTTGGCAGATTGTTCTGCGAAAACGTCAGCAACTTGTCCATCGCGAGGTGCTCCGGCGGTTCGACTTGGAAACGCTTCTTCCACGCCGCCGTGAGATCTGCCCAGCTGATGTACTTGTGCAGTTCGGTGACTGTACAGGCATGTGCAGACAGCATGTTATCCAGCCATGCTTGGCACGCTCCTCCCGAACGGGAGTACAGATATGCATGCCTGTTTGTGTCGATCACGTGGTGAAGGTCCAGCTTGAGTTCGAACTGACGCCACCACGGTATGGGGTCCGTCTTCGATGAGTCACAGAACATCGGAAGCCCGTCAAATTTGACAATGGATTCCCGTGGCGTCGAGCTGTAGCCGGCGGCGGTGCAAACATGTTGCGCCCCGGTCTTGAGTACTCCCATGTCAATCTCCAAAACGTTGACGCGGTCGACGAGGTCGGAAGGACCGGCGCCGGAGTTGGCGGTAGCAAGCTGCTGCTCCAGCTGCTGGATGTGCTGGAGCATCTTGTCCATGGACTGTTGTTGCACCTGGTTGGTGTGGTCGAGCGAATGGATATCCTCCTGCTGCGCAATACAAGTAGCAAGGAGGTCCGTGACGCGGTTGAGTAGTTGAGACACTCTGCTCCCGACGTCAACGGCGTCGCCGTTCTCGGCCTCTTTTTGCCAATCCTTAGCCTGTGCGTGAAGTGCACTTTCCTCCCTGAATATGACCTCGCGTCGCCGTGCACGTTCTTCATCGGCGGCCTTGGCTGCTGCTGCTGCGTGCTTCTGTTGCTGCTCTTCAGCCAGAAGACGTAGCCTCTCTGCCTCTGCTTCTTTCTTCTTCCGTGCTGCTGCTGCTGCGTCTGCCCGCTTCTTGCCTTCGGCTACGATGGCCGCCAGCCGTGCTTCGTAGTCCGCATCAGTCTCACCTGGCTTCTCGCCGCTGTTTGCGTGCGAGTCAGAACGGTCATGCGCCGCGGGACCCTGACGTGGCCTGCTGAAATGGCTTACCTGGCCTGCAACTGCAGGTGGCTGGGCAGGCGGGAAAGGACGGAGAAGGAAAGGAGAGGTCGGATGAAGAGAGGGGGAGTGGGCCAGCGAAGGGGTTGCCCAGATAAGGAGCCGCTAATCAAAGAAAAAATTACGACCTTGCTGCATTTTCGAAAAAAAGAAAAAAAGTCGAATTTGCAAGCTTGGTAGGCTCCTTAGATATCCCCGCAGCAGTTACGAACAGTAAAAAAATGTCGAATTGCAGGCTGCAATGAATCAGAATGGAGACAATGGGGGGAAAGCTGAACTGCGAGAGAAAATATATYCCCGCAGGTTCGGCAAATTCCGAAGGGAAAAAGTTCGGAATATGTCACATGAGAGTGCGCAGAGGGTTCCCGAAAAAATAATTTCCGAAAAATTAAAAAAAATTGAAAAACGAAGTTCAAAAATTTCGAATTCCAGAAGTAACCGGGATTTTTGAAGGAATAGAATCGAAACTTTTCTTGGATCTCCTCAGCCACGAATCTTCAAAGAAGAAAAGATCGCGGACTAATACAATGGGAAATCGCAGTAGAAAGGTTGCGCAGCAAATTTCGAATTTCCTCAAAAAATAAATTGCAAAAATAATAAAAAAAATACTTGCAGGAATATTCCAATTTCAAGAAACTAAAATCGCGAAATAATCCGCAGAATATTCGTGTTTTTCAAGAAAACAAAATCGCGGAGTA